GGTCACGGGAGTCACCTCTTGCAGAAACCCCATATAAGTTAACACCTCCAGGAATTTCTAATGACGCTACTCCGGCCTCTAGACTGGCTGTGGATGAAGAACCCGTATAAGGAGTTGAGTTGACGTGACCACTACTACCAGTAGGAAGAGCCACTGAATTAGCACCAGCCTGGCTTTGAGCCATCAACCACCCTTGTAGAAAAGGTAACTCCCAGGAACCTCTGTCTCTAAAGTGAAATAACTGCTGAAGTTGTCCAAACTCGAGTAAATCTGGTTGATTTGAAACTTGACTGGGAACTCTATTTCTTCCAGCAGGTTGAGCTTCATCTACATCCATGGCATCAACTGCAGTGGTAGAATTTCTAGCTCCAGCTTGGGCAGTAAATGTATTACCAGCAGAATTGTCTGGGACATGATAGGAACCAGAAAGATCAGCAGACGTAGCCATGGGAAGAGGAGAAGGTGAAATTGTTCTGCTGCCTAGTTCTACAGAACTTTGGTTACTCTGAAACCTCGTTTGTGCAGTCCTTGGACCAGTAGTACCACTAGAATATTGTATTCTTGGATCATCAGGAGAATATGAAGGCAAGAGCAAGTACGGTAATGGCACAAGTGGCAGTTCGGCTGCCAAACTGGTACGACTGCCACTTTGTGTGTTGGTGAAGAAAATAGCAGGGGGCGGATATCGCAAATAACCCGGAGATGTTGCTCTTGTCATTGCGGAATCTGATGAATCAATGTCAGTCACCTGCCATTTATAGTTAATAGAGTAAGCCCACAAAGTGGCAGAACATTAACCCAATCCTCAATCTGTAGCTCACCTCAGCAGTCAAGAGAAGAGGAACCCCATGTGGATGAAAGTGTACAGCTCTCAGGGAACGCCTTGTCTTCAACACAATTGCTGGTGACGAGTCCTCCCCTATCTTATTATAATGCCAAATGTGCAACTTCAAAAGAAAAAAAAAGGCATTAGTCAAAACTTTAAGGGACCTTTATATCAGATACTTTATTCTGAAAGTGAAAGGATAAGCCACCTGCAACTAGCTAGCGTTTCATGAGAGATTCAAAAGGGAATAAGATACCTTATGACCAGATGCAACAGCAAGTAATTCACCATCAGCGTGGAAAGCAATGGAAGCAATCGGTCGATCTGTTTAGTGAGAAGAGGAAGAGGGACGGGAGTTAATTAGATGAAAAAGTAGAAGAAAGAAAAAGAAAAAAGAATATAATGCCTGGCACTTACAGAAATCATGAGTTCTAATACACTCCGCAGTTTTTGCATTCCATAAGCGCACCTCATGATCTAAACTTCCACTAGCAACTATTTCTGAGTGGCGCGGGTGGAATCTGACCTGTAGAGAACAATAACATTAGATAATAAAGTAGTGGGTATAACGCAGAGCAAATTATCTAATCAAGTAAACCAAAATCAGGTTAATTCATTGCAAGTATTGACTAACATGCTACACCTAAACAAAAATATTACAAAACTGACACTAATTATCCAACCTACAAAACCAATGACAAAGATAACCACCAGTAATCATTTCAATGAGATAAGATTAAGTAGTTGTGAAACAGTTGTGATCAAGTTAAGTGCTACCTAATAACCATGTTTAATCATAGACTTAATGAAGTTAAGAGAAAAGGGATAGCAGTCTCTAACTCACCACCCAGGGTGTCCTCCGATGGCCAGTCAAAATTTTTAAGCATTTTCCTGTCTCACAATCAATAATTTTTACAGTGTGGTCACCACTACAAGATAAAAAATACAAAAAACAAATCTCATTAGCGAACGGAAAATATTAAATTACAACAAATACAACTCATAATACTTACTGTGTAGAGGCAAGAGTTCTTCCATCAGAGCTAAAAGCTGCTGCTATAGTTGACCTTGGAGGAGGTACAAGAGGACAGTATTTAGCAGATAAATACTGCAATGACTCTGCCTCAACCCTACATATAAGGAATGAAGTCTACATTCAGATGCCCGAAAGGAGGCAGGGATCACATAATAGAGGAACGAAGAAGCGATGAAAGCAAGGTACCAAGAAATAAGATTATGTCCCTGCTCGCTCACTGGTTCGCTAGTGGTTCCACACGACGAATCAGCATCCCATCGGCTTTCACCCCACCGTTTTCTTGGCACAAACTTTGTTTTTGGTGAAATTTCCCTCTGGACCAGTAACTTGAAGACGCTCCTACACCTGAATAATCATACTCAAACCATATTATGAGCGATCCAGCCAGATCAGCAGCTGACAGAATTAGTAAGGGCACCCGAAAACCATGAAATTTTAGGCTGCAAGTAAGAATTCAAGATTCACTTCCAAGCCATACTGCTGTCTTAACTGCTGAAACCAGACCAGATTCACCAAAAGCCGCATAATTTTCCTTGTGAACATGATGAGGGTTCCAAAACTCCATAGTACATGAGATCTATCACTTCAAAAGTACTTGTATAGCCATCGTAAAACAAGATTCAGAAACAAGCATCCGGAATTTTAACGATCTCCTAAACAAGCCTTCTTATTACTTGATCTAACGCTAGATCTCTCCTAAACATGAACAAAGTAGTTCCAAGTTTCTATAATTCAAAGGCAACAAAAGGTTCTACTACTAAAATTCATAATTCAAACTCAAGTCAATAAGCTAGTCCTGACCTCTGGCGATGGACATTAGCCACTGGTTTTGGTGACGGTATCATCGACCGAGGAGATGGTTGATCGTGTAACCAGATAGATTCCGTCATCATAAAATCTGAAATTCATATCAATACCACAGTTGACAGAGAATCCATAGATGCGGCCAAAACAAGGACGAAACCCTAACAAGACGATCTTCGTTGAAAACAAGGCCAAATCGCCGATCTAATCTCCCCGAATTTCCTCGCCGGCGGCTCCGTCCTCTAGATGGGTCAGGGACTATTTACGGTGAAGAACGACGAAGAAACCTAAAAGGAAAAACAGGAGGACATAGCTGAGGATGGTCTGCGATACATTAAAAAGGATCTCCTTTTTTTCTCTCTAATTGAAATGCCCTGTTCTTCATTATCTAACACAATCTTTACAATTTAAATTATACCCTTATATTTTCTGTTCTTTCGTATTCCTACCCTGATAAAATTTAGAGATCACTGTTACCCTAATTGTAATCCTAATATATAATTTGGAATTTCTGATAATTCCTCGATTGAACAAATAATGTCTGAGATGTATCTGAAAATCAGTTGATATAATAATTGCGTAGTATCTTATCCTGGACTTGAAGGAGGTATTGAATCGCAATTCATAAAATGTTGGCAAATTCTTAAATTTAGTGAATCAATAAGGGTATATTAATGAATTAGTCTTATGTCTAATTTGTTTTTCACACTTTACAAGTTCATCACGCGGGGACCAAAAACGAAAAAACTACAAGCAGTTAGCAAACTTTTGTAATGAACAGCAAAGCATCCTAATCATTAACACAACAAGGTTTGGTACAATGCCTAAACCGGTTCGGTCTTTCATTCATTTGTTCAAACACCAGTTATTTACCTAACCCAAAACAAGTTAAATACATGAACCAAG